GGTTTAATCTGTGGACTCCTTGTAATAGAAAATGATGCGACTTTGTGTTTGGTAGTCAAAAGAAGTTACTTCACCACCACAGGCTGACTACAGTCTCGGGAGTGTTGTCTTTGGGTGCTGAACCCTCAAGCCTGGACAGAGTTACATCACTGAAGTAAACTGGAAATGGCTTGAGGTCCCTGTAAAACTGGTTATTCTGAAAAACCATGTTGTGGGAAAAGGCAGAGATCTTAGATCTTGGACTGGATTGTTCGTGGATCAATCCTGATTGATGCTGCCTGCGTGCATGCGGTTGGTCCTTGGTCAATAGGTGCTGATTTGGGGGGAGATAATGCTGCACAAGATGCCTGTGACTTGTGTAATGGCAGAGATTGGCTTTTGGAAACATGTGGTAAACAGCCCTGGCGCAAGGCTTGCTTTCCTGTAATGATCTTGGCCTCTAAGAGTGACCAGCCCTTCCCTGAGATGCTGGGTTTCAAGAAACCTTGGCCAGGTTTTGATAAGACCAACTCCGTGTCATTGTCCAACCACTGAGGTCTTTGTGTGCCTGAGGTAGAGGTGCTTTTGGCCAGGCCTGCCCGTGCCTGCAGGGAGAATTGCACACTTCCCTGCAGGAGCTGGGTCCAGAGGATTGACTGGAATGCTTTCTCAACACAAAAAAAAGGTTAAAAAAAAGAGCAAGATCTGCTTTGACCCACATGGTGTCCTTCATTGCACTTTCTCCATGGGCAGATTGTGTATGCAGAGCGGCCTCTAACTGACAACAACAGATCTCTGGCTTCCTATGGCTTGAAAGATGGGGACGTGGTGATTTTACGACAGAAAGAGACTGTGGAACCTCGACCCTCCATCCGTTTCCCAGGTGAGAAGGGATGTGTGCTAGCTTTTGCTCTGATCATCCAAAGATCTCAGTATTTACCAAACACCAACTCCATCTCATGTCACCCTCCTTTAGTACCTCACTAGGCAAAAGCATTTAGGAAGGAGCATGGCAAGGGATGAGGTGGGGGCTTTACAAATTGGGAAAAGGGCTTGTTATGGAATGTTGGTTGTTTTTTTTAAATTCTAAGGAAGTGAATACCATTCTTTTGGGGAAATGCAGCGAAAGCAAGAAAATTAACTCGTTCAGAACAGCAGTTTTTGCAAAGGCTTGTGAAGGTTGATACAGCTGCTGGTTCCCTTCCCACCCAGTGTCGTGGTGCAATCACGTGGGGTCTGTTCTGCTCAGAGACAACAAAAAGTCGTTGCATCATGTGCTCATTTGTTGGATGATAAACACCCAGCAAAGCTGCATCTGGACAAACCCAGCAACACAACCATGCAAAAGACTCCACAGGCAAGGTCTGACTGGAGCCTGGTTCCTCTCTCCTGCCTTCTGCAGTGATTCCTAGCTAATTCACCTCATGAAATAACGCTGGAGAAGGTGCTACTGGCTGGGAAGGGCGTGGGAGTGTTGCTTGAGGTCCTTGACCTCTTGCCTCAGCTGGAGGATGGGTACCTGCAATGCAGGTCTGCAGAAATGGTACTTCCTTTTTTTTTTTTTTTCTTTTTTTCCCCTGGCTTTTTTTTTTTTTAATCAGAGAGGTTCAGAAGCACCTCAGAGACACAGGGATTAGCCTTGTGGATCCCTCTGTGTGGTACTCACATTTGTGAAGCTGGAAATAACCAGTCTGATGAGGAGATCAAAAATGGGCCAGGTAGGCTAGAGGAGCTACGTGAATAGGTGCTGGCATTCCTAACCCAGTAACCTGAGCACGTGGCCATGCTCCTGATACGGATCTCTGCTCTCAGAATCCAGCCTCGTGCTGGAGCATGAAGAGCAGCTCATCCTTCCTATGGTTTTCCAGCTGCGTTTTCCCAGCAGAATCTTAATGGTGAAGCGCTGACGCCTCTGACCTCTTTTTCCCTCAAGGTTTGCCCAAGATCGACTTCAGCAGCATCGCGGTTCCTGGGACATCCTCTCAGCAGCACCAGCCCCCAGCACAGCGGCCTCGCCCGTCGCCTCCCGACGCCAGCTCGTTCCCTCAGGGGCTGGACAACCCGAGGCTGCTGCGTGAGATGTTGCTGGCGAATCCCCACGAGCTGTCGCTGCTGAAGGAGCGCAACCCGCCCCTGGCCGAGGCCTTGCTCAGTGGAGACCTCGGTGAGTCGGGTTTTTTGTCTGTAGGAGGTGGTTATAGGTGTGTTTGAGCTCTTGATAAAAGGGCAGACACAAGTTTTTTAACTAGCTGCGATATGTCCAGCTCTGGGGTTCCCAGTGTAAGAAGGACACGGAGGTCCTGGAGAGAGTCCAGAGGAGGCCATGGAGATGATGGGAGGGCTGGAGCAGCTCTGCTCTGGAGCCAGGCTAGGAGAGTTGGGGTGTTCAGCCTGGAGAGGAGAAGGCTCCAGGGAGACCTTAGAGCACCTTCCAGTGCCTGAAGGGGCTCCAGGAAAGCTGGGGAGGGACTTGGGACAAGGGCAGGGAGGGATGGGATGAAGGGAATGGATTGAAACTGGAAGAGGGAGATTGAGGTTGGACATGAGGAGGAAATTCTTTAGTGTGAGGGTGGTGAGAGCCTGGCCCAGGTTGCCCAGGGAAGCTGTGGCTGCCCCATCCCTGGCAGTGTTGAAGAGCAGGTCGGATGGGGCTTGGAGTAACCTGGGCTTGTGGGAGGTGTCCCTGCCCGTGCAGGGGGTTGGATCTAGGTGGTCCTGAAGGTCCCAACTCAAACCCTTCCATTATTCTATGATAACAATTCTTTGTTTGCTGCCAGCTCACTGATGATGCCGATAAAAGGTGCCAGTTGGGAGCATTCAGGGCAGAGGTCCTCTCCTAAACAGGACTATTTCTGGCAGGTTATACATATTTCTCTTTCTTGGCTTCATTAATATCCTCTGTGCCCTACTCTGGAATATCAGATCCACAGAGAAGTTTCTGTGAAGACAAATGGCTCAGCTCCCAGTTTTTATGCAAAGACTCTGAATGCACATTTTCCAATCATGCTATTGTAGTTGTTGCATCCCAGAGCCCACTGAGATGTCAACAGAGAGCAGAGGCTGTAAAACCACCTTTGTCCATAATGGTGAGCTGGTTTGGGAGTGGACATTTGGAAGAGAGAGGAGAAGGAACAAGTAAATGCTGGCTTTAGGGAGTTTTTTCCATAGGAATAGTCAGAAATGTTGACGTCTCAAAGTGTGGTATTTTGGGCACAGTTGAAGCCTAGTGCCGTGCTTTGAGCTCGAGTGTGATTTCAGTATGGAAACAGAGAGGTGTTCTGGGCATCAGATGATGTGCTGCTAAAGCCCTGCGGTTGTTTAGGTAGGAAATAAATCCTCTTGAGTTTGGGGAAGTGAAGGAAGAGGAGGAGCTTCCAGCAGGAGTCTTTTTTTTCCCCTCTTCCAAGAGTACATCGTAGTGGCTTCTCTCAGTCAAAGGAAGCTAGAGAGGAACTTGCCCAGATCTTATCGGCCTGCTTCATTTTTTCATTCTGACTGTAGCTTATCTCCAGAGTTAAAACCATGTCCTTTGCACTTTCAAGCTTTTTCACACCTCTTGTGAGCACAGCATTGATAGTGCATCATCTTGAGAGATGTGCCACTGTTGGCAGAGGAAATAAGAAGTACAGCCCAAGACACCCAGAACCAGCTCATCTGATCTGTCCTGTCTTGTTGTGCACATTTAACTTGGATTCAGGTGTGCCTTTTCAGTCCCAAGTGGCTGCAGAAGGAAGTGGGGTTGAATCTGGTTGTGCTCGCATCATTCCATACTTCTCCTCTGGGTATCTGGGCACAGCTCTGGCTTGGATGCCCAGATGTCCCTACAGATCTGTGCCATGTGTTGGTGCCAGATGCTCAACAAGCACTTCAGCAGGCATCTCATGTACAGAAGCCTAATTAAAAAAAACAAAGCAAACCAAGAAAACTTCCCCAGTGCCTTCCTGAACAGGTACCAGCCTCAGAGCCAGTGAGCTTCTTCATGGGAACTGCATTTCTGGAAGGAAACCCACAACTTACTGTGTTTACAGAGCTCAGTTTATTGCCAGATCCTTTTGGGAATGTATGTGAGCACATCCAAGTAGTGAAAACCAGCCAGAGGCCATGCAAAAAGCGGGGATGTAAAATATATGTCCTTAAAATGTGGGGCTAAACTTTGTGAAGCAGGTGACCAGTCCTGGACCTCTTGATTTCAGTGGCCAGGTGTGCAGCTGTAGGGATCATTCTGTCTCTGTCTTTGCCTGTGTTGCTTGGGTTTAAAGCAAGTTTTGTCCTTAGCCTTTTTATGTCTTAGAGTTCTGCATTTGCTCTTTGCTGGATCTACAGGCTGTTATTTTCCTGGGAATTGCTAAGTGTAAAATGGGATAGAACCTGCAAGCTGTTCTTGTAGCTGAGCCATCTTAGTGAGAGCTGGGAAATGTTGTTTCTGTCTCTGAAGCTTTTTCAAAATACATGTGCACTCAGGTCTCTCATTGGAATTGTGCAAGTCCTGATTTCTGCTTCAGGTCTCATTTATCTGCTGGATTTTAGAGTATTTGGCAATTCTTGCCTCAACAGAAGAATTAATCCCTGTTCTCAAGCAGCTCTTTGTTTTAAATATTGTTGTCTTCATGTTTTTTCCTCTGTTTCTCCCATATAAAAATGTATGCACAAGGAAACTGAGCTTGCTTGTGCTGAGTTTGGGTAGCAGACACAAGGAGAAAGAGCTCTGTCCAGTTGGCTTTCCATCTCAGGGCGTTCCCAAGCTTTGCCACGCATCCTTTGAGGTCCATCCATCTGCGAGGTCCATCCATGCTGCCTTCAGCTGAAGCCCTGTGTGCCTCAGCTGCTGAGTCCAGCTCTGAGTTCATGCTGGCATGAAAAGGTGAGGTTGCTGTGCCAGAACTTGAGTTGTAAGAGTAATTTCCAGTAAAAAGCATTTGTGTTTCTCCCTGTTACTGCAGAGAAATTCACCAGGGTGTTGCTGGAGCAACAGCAGGACCGGGCCCGGCGGGAGCAAGAAAGGATCCGACTCTACTCAGCTGACCCTTTTGATCTGGAGGCACAGGCCAAGATAGAAGAAGACATAAGGTAGCAAACCAAAGTAACCTGCAGGCTTTGGAGGTCTTCGTGGTGCTTTTTTCCACAGGATGCTTCCGTCCATGGTGCTTTACATTGGAGGATGCAGGAATGTGCTTAGGTCCTGCCTTAAGATGTCTGTAGGGCATCTCTGAGCCAACTTTGCAGGTGGGAAGGTTGGGAGTTGGGGACATGGAGGCACACGCCCCATCCTTTAGATCTATCCAGTTGAGCACAGATCATGAGGTGGTAGCATGACTGTCTATGCCTGTGATGTCCCAGAGATGTCCAAGCTGGTCCACTCTGAAACAAGGGCCCTTGTGGAGAGCGCATAGTCCAGATCCTCTGGTGAGGTGGCACTTGGGTGTCTGGGGCACGTTCTGCACTGGAGAGCTGGACCTGTGTTGATGTCTGAGCTGAGCTCTCTGCTCAGCTCCATGGCATCATTCCTCCAGCTGCCTTTGAGACTGGGTTTCATATTTGCTAATTATTTTGTCTCTGGCTAATTCCAGACTCTTAACATCACTGCTGTCAGAAGAGATGTTCTGGAGAAATACGTTCTGCTCATCAGTGCTCGCTCCCTCTTGCTGTCTTCTAAATGTAATTGCACTGGGCTGAGGCTTGATTTCTTAAATTGAGTGATAAATTCTGGAGTCAGAACATGATGGATGTTTTTTTTTCCCCAGTAAAGAAATGTCCTTGTGGCTCATAACCAAAAGTCATTTGTGTCTGAAGGGCTTCAGGAAAGCTGGGGAGGGACTTGGGACAAGGACTTGTAGTGAGAGGACAAGGGTTAATGGATTAAAAATGAAGAGGGGAGATTTAGGTTGGACATGAGGAGGAAATTCTTGAGTGTGAGGGTTGCCTAGGGAAGCTGTGGCTGCCCCATCCCTGGAAGTGTTGAAGAGCAAGTTGGATGGGGCTTGGAGCAACCTGGGCTGGTGGAAGGTGTCCCTGCCCATGCAGGGGGATTTGGGACTGTATGATCTTGAAGGTCCCTTCTATCCCAAACCAGTCTGGGATTCTATGATAAACAGTCATTCTTGTGTTACACCTGATACGGTGTTCGTGTTGGAGGAAGGCTTAGCTTAGCAATGCAGAAAAATAGATATTTGTAGGTAGGAAAAGATGGCTTGGAGGCACTGGAACACTTACATTCACCAGAGCTGAGGGGACAGCTAAAGGAGGTGTGCCCAAGGCTGTGGAGCTGTTAGGGAACAGTCTGGGCTTCTAGCAGTCCCCAGATTTCACATCCCGCTTAGTTTCTCTGAACTCCTTCCTTCATTCCATGTGCTTTGCCCAAGACTGGAAGCTATTGCAAGGATCGTATTTTTTGGGACACATCTCTGCCCTCCAAGTGTATCTGGGGTGGAGAGAGTGTCAGGCACAGAGACAAGAAGATAATGGATGTGACAAGGGAACAAAGATAAACCACTGTATCTCCAGTGTAAATAATCAAGGACAGGACAATGTGTGGCTCTGCTTCTCAAATATATGAGGCAGGACAGACTGGCAGCAGGGCACTTTAGCTCCTAAGTGAGCCAGGTCAGGATACCATTAGGTGTTTTCCTCCCCCCCAAGAAACCACATCCTACAATCTTGTTGTGGGAAGGCTACCAGGTTACAGAAGATGAGGAATAAAGGAGCTTGGCATTCTTCCCCTGCTGAGGGGGAAAACCAAAACTGTTTCAAAATTGGGTTCAAAATTTTCTCCTTTTGGTAGATAAAGGTATTTCAGATGCAGTCACTACAGATACCCATCACTTCCAAGATTAGAGTAGGCACCACAGTGGGCTTCTTGAAGAGCATTTCTTCTGTAGAGTTGAATCTGCACCAAGAGCCTGTGCTCATGGCAATGTTCTTGCTATGGTTTTACTCACCTCCCTCCTTTCCTATGCCTGGAAAATGAAAGATACCAAGGAAACATTGGAGAATTTTAATGTTCAGCTGCTGTGTGGGATTCCAGCTTTGTAGCTCCTGGCAACATCTTCATCGTGTGCCCTCAGTGCTTTGTTGTAGAGTGACTAATAAACACCCAGGTTTTTCACTCACAGGTTCTCTAGATTAGCTGTGTAGTGACAGCTTTCTGCTGCAAAGAGGTGGTCATCTGGTGTTGTCATGAGGCAGAGGGTTGGAAGGAGCCTCCCTGCCTACTGTGGGAGGGACTTGGTGTCTCTGGGTTGAGCCAAGATCATGACTAGCAGCCCCCCTAAGCAGCCTGTGTTCAGCTAATGGGAAAGTCTGTTGGGGTTTAACCCTGCTGTTTGTAGGCTGAGCAGCACAGGGGAGTGACCAGATCTGTCTGTAAGTCAAACGGATGCTTACAAGGTTCAGCTGGTGGAAAGGCTGATGGTTTTTTCTCTGTTCTCCATTAAATTCAGGCAACAAAACATTGAAGAAAATATGACGATAGCAATGGAAGAGGCTCCTGAGAGCTTTGGCCAGGTGGTGATGCTGTACATCAACTGCAAAGTCAACGGACATCCAGTGAAAGCCTTTGTTGACTCAGGTGAACTGCCCCATTTTCATGTCTTTCTCCACACTCTCCTTTCCCTCACTGAGGGAGACAGAAGTTTTGCCCAAAAATTCTGTAGTAAAGCACCACGTTACAAGGTTCAGGAGTGATTCTCCCCCTTCACTTGGCTCTTGTGAGACCCCATCTGGAGACCTGTGTCCAGCTCTGGGGTTCCCAAAGTAAGAAGGACATGGACCTCCGGGAGAGAGTCCAGAGGAGGCCACAGAGATGATCCAAGGGCTGGAGCAGCTCTGCTCTGGAGCCAGGCTAGGAGAGTTGGGGTGTTCAGCCTGGAGAGGAGAAGGCTCCAGGGAGACCTTAGAGCACCTTCCAGTGCCTGAAGGGGCTCCAGGAAAGCTGGGGAGGGACTTGGGACAAGGGCATGGAGGGATGGGATGAGGGGGATGGATTAAAACTGGGAGAGGGAGATTGAGGTTGGAGATGAGGAGGAAATTCTTTGCTGTGAGGGTGGTGAGACCCTGGCCCAGGTTGTCCAGGGAAGCTGTGGCTGCCCCATCCCTGGCAGTGTTGAAGGGCAGGTTGGATGGGGCTTGGAGCAACCTGGGCTGGTGGGAGGTGTCCCTGCTCATGCAAAGGGATTTGGGACTGGGTGGTCTTTAAGGTCCCTTTGAACCCAAACCATTCCATTCTATGAAGATTCTGAAGCACCTAATAGAGATCTGAGAGCAGCCTGGGTATTGTTTAAGGCAAACGGAGCAAATTGTTGAGAAAAGAAGCTCACATGAGTGGTTGAACAGCCCAGGGCAAGGCTTCTGTGGTAATTTCTGGGGCTTTGATGCCAGGAAGGTCACTGCCACACCTGTGTATCACCTCATGGCACAGATGGGGGGGATTTTACATGCCTTTAATGCAGTGCTTCCCATCTGCAGCCTTCAAGGGACAGTCCTTGGGGTTCTTCCAGCTCTACAGGAACTTTCCTGTCAGTGCTGATTCAAGGCAGTGGGATTCCCAGGGAACCTTTATGCCTTCATACAGTTGCTGATGCAGGCAGGTTGATTTCCCAGCTGCTGAGTGCAAAATCTTAAGTCCTCCCAGGAGAAAATTCTGATTTGTGATGAACTGTCAGGAACTTTACACAATTGTTTCTGCTGGTAGGTGCCCAGATGACCATCATGAGCCAAGCTTGTGCTGAAAGGTGCAACATAATGAGGCTGGTAGATCGACGGTGGGCTGGCATTGCCAAGGGTGTAGGGACTCAGAAAATCATTGGCAGAGTGCACTTAGGTGAGTACTGACATTCTTCTTGGGGCAGCTTTAGCTGCATCTCCCACAGTCTTGGCACCAAGGAAGATTTGGTTTCATGCTGTAACTGTTAGAAACTGCTGCAGAGTACAGGAAAAGTGCATCTGCAGTATGTTTGTCCTGGGCACAGCAGTCAGGCTTCTGTTTTGTTTAATGCTTTTAAAATGGAGTTACCTCAACACTGTTAGGTGAGGGAGTCCTCAGTGAAGAGCATGTGTTCACTCTTGGTGCCAAAAATGGGACTAATGTGGAGTAGTAGGATCTTTCCTATCTGGGGTGGGACTGTTGGGCAGCATGAGCTGCTTGGGAAGGGAAGGGCTCTGGTCCTGTGGAGTGTTTCATACTCCTTTGGGAAGAGATGGCTGCCTCTGCCCTTGTGCAGGTTTTCTGGATGACAAACGATTGTCCTTGTTGTCTGACAAATGGATTCTTTTCACTGTTGTTTCTTCTTAGAGCTGTGTTCTGAGGAGCTGTCTGCAGCTTCTCTGGCTGGGGGGTCAGGTGAGCAGCATTGAAGGATCTAGTGCAGGTCGGCTTTTTGAATCATGAACTGGGCCTGAGAGTCCCTGGGGCTTACACACGGCCAGGCTTTCTGTGACCAGCTCAGTAGGTCAGAGCTGTGGTTTCAGATACACCCAACAGGTCTGTGCAGGCCTTTCCCAGGAGATAGAAGAGCAGAAAGCAGATTTGTTGAGGTGTGGCCTTGCAAGGTGGCAACTTCTCTCCTTGTGTTGCAGCTCAGGTGCAGATTGAAGGGGATTTCTTGGCATGCTCCTTCTCAATCCTTGAAGAGCAGCCCATGGACATGCTTTTAGGACTGGATATGCTGAAGAGGCATCATTTGCCCAAAAATTCTGTAGTAAAGCACCACGTTACAAGGTTCAGGAGTGATTCTCCCCCTTCACTTGGCTCTTGTGAGACCCCATCTGGAGACCTGTGTCCAGCTCTGGGGTTCCCAAAGTAAGAAGGACATGGACCTCCGGGAGAGAGTCCAGAGGAGGCCACAGAGATGATCCAAGGGCTGGAGCAGCTCTGCTCTGGAGCCAGGCTAGGAGAGTTGGGGTGTTCAGCCTGGAGAGGAGAAGGCTCCAGGGAGACCTTAGAGCACCTTCCAGTGCCTGAAGGGGCTCCAGGAAAGCTGGGGAGGGACTTGGGACAAGGGCATGGAGGGATGGGATGAGGGGGATGGATTAAAACTGGGAGAGGGAGATTGAGGTTGGAGATGAGGAGGAAATTCTTTGCTGTGAGGGTGGTGAGACCCTGGCCCAGGTTGTCCAGGGAAGCTGTGGCTGCCCCATCCCTGGCAGTGTTGAAGGGCAGGTTGGATGGGGCTTGGAGCAACCTGGGCTGGTGGGAGGTGTCCCTGCTCATGCAAAGGGATTTGGGACTGGGTGGTCTTTAAGGTCCCTTTGAACCCAAACCATTCCATTCTATGAAGATTCTGAAGCACCTAATAGAGATCTGAGAGCAGCCTGGGTATTGTTTAAGGCAAACGGAGCAAATTGTTGAGAAAAGAAGCTCACATGAGTGGTTGAACAGCCCAGGGCAAGGCTTCTGTGGTAATTTCTGGGGCTTTGATGCCAGGAAGGTCACTGCCACACCTGTGTATCACCTCATGGCACAGATGGGGGGGATTTTACATGCCTTTAATGCAGTGCTTCCCATCTGCAGCCTTCAAGGGACAGTCCTTGGGGTTCTTCCAGCTCTACAGGAACTTTCCTGTCAGTGCTGATTCAAGGCAGTGGGATTCCCAGGGAACCTTTATGCCTTCATACAGTTGCTGATGCAGGCAGGTTGATTTCCCAGCTGCTGAGTGCAAAATCTTAAGTCCTCCCAGGAGAAAATTCTGATTTGTGATGAACTGTCAGGAACTTTACACAATTGTTTCTGCTGGTAGGTGCCCAGATGACCATCATGAGCCAAGCTTGTGCTGAAAGGTGCAACATAATGAGGCTGGTAGATCGACGGTGGGCTGGCATTGCCAAGGGTGTAGGGACTCAGAAAATCATTGGCAGAGTGCACTTAGGTGAGTACTGACATTCTTCTTGGGGCAGCTTTAGCTGCATCTCCCACAGTCTTGGCACCAAGGAAGATTTGGTTTCATGCTGTAACTGTTAGAAACTGCTGCAGAGTACAGGAAAAGTGCATCTGCAGTATGTTTGTCCTGGGCACAGCAGTCAGGCTTCTGTTTTGTTTAATGCTTTTAAAATGGAGTTACCTCAACACTGTTAGGTGAGGGAGTCCTCAGTGAAGAGCATGTGTTCACTCTTGGTGCCAAAAATGGGACTAATGTGGAGTAGTAGGATCTTTCCTATCTGGGGTGGGACTGTTGGGCAGCATGAGCTGCTTGGGAAGGGAAGGGCTCTGGTCCTGTGGAGTGTTTCATACTCCTTTGGGAAGAGATGGCTGCCTCTGCCCTTGTGCAGGTTTTCTGGATGACAAACGATTGTCCTTGTTGTCTGACAAATGGATTCTTTTCACTGTTGTTTCTTCTTCTTTTCACTGTTGTTTCTTCTTCTAGAGCTGTGTTCTGAGGAGCTGTCTGCAGCTTCTCTGGCTGGGGGGTCAGGTGAGCAGCATTGAAGGATCTAGTGCAGGTCGGCTTTTTGAATCATGAACTGGGCCTGAGAGTCCCTGGGGCTTACACACGGCCAGGCTTTCTGTGACCAGCTCAGTAGGTCAGAGCTGTGGTTTCAGATACACCCAACAGGTCTGTGCAGGCCTTTCCCAGGAGATAGAAGAGCAGAAAGCAGATTTGTTGAGGTGTGGCCTTGCAAGGTGGCAACTTCTCTCCTTGTGTTGCAGCTCAGGTGCAGATTGAAGGGGATTTCTTGGCATGCTCCTTCTCAATCCTTGAAGAGCAGCCCATGGACATGCTTTTAGGACTGGATATGCTGAAGAGGCATCAGGTATGTTTTGAAACAGTTCCTTGCTCTTCCAAGTGAAGTGCCAAGTGCAACATAAATGCCCTGCCTGTGAATTTGTTAGGATTTTTCCAGGGAGAGTTGGTAGTAGATGATCTTCCAGCCAGGCAGGCCAGAAGTACAGACACTACATACAGCATGGATAGCCATGGGGTGTCTGGATGCTCCCTGAAGGACTTTGCTCTCATCAGAGCTTTCCAACTGAATGATTTATTACAAATCAAGTCATATGGAGCCCTTTGCCTAGAGCTGATGCTCTTGGCCCACTTTGCTTTACTCCAGCTGTTCCTGTGGGAAATGGATTGTTTAACCTTGTTTCTCCTTCTCTGGGAACTCACTGGCTCTTACACAGGCCCCTGATGTCTCGATGCTCTTTCACAGTGTTCGATTGATCTCAAGAAGAATGTACTAGTGATTGGCACCACTGGTTCCCAGACCAGTTTCCTCCCAGAGGGTGAGCTCCCGGAATGTGCCCGGCTGGCGTACGGAGCCGGGCGGGAAGACGTGAGGCCGGAGGAGATTGCAGACCAGGAGCTGGCAGAAGCAATACAGAAGTCTGTAGAGGAAGCAGGTACCAGGAGAAGCCCAGTTGAAATATTAATCTGCATCCTTTTCTTGCTGTGTATCAGGATGTCTGCCAGCAGCCCCCTTCTCAGCCCCAAGGAGACAGTCTGAGGCAGCATCAGGGACTAAATGGTGGAGACAAAGTGGGGGGTTATTCTTGCTCTGACTGCATGTCACTCTGTACAGCTAAATCTGCATGAAGGCATTCAGGGGTGCTTTCTGCTTCATTTGTGCTCTTCTTCTTTCCCTGCCCATGCAGGGAGCTTGGATCTAGATGGTCTTTAAGGCCCCTTCCAACCTAAGCCATTCTGTGATTCTTCCTACCTGCTCTGGTGTCTTGGCCTTTGAAGGTGTGGAGATGAAGGGTTGTCTCTGGCACCCGTTCACCTGGGTCAAATTGCAGTGCTAGTCAGGAAGAGGTGGCTCAGCTGGGTGATACTGTAGCAGCCTCACACGTGGACAGCTTTGTGGAGGCTTCCACAAATCCTGCTCTTAATAGCTGCAGCATATAAAAATAGAGGAGCCACAGCAGGAAGCACAAATCTCTAGACAGAAGTTCAGGACAATTTTTAGAAATACTACGATTTCAGCATTTTTTTCCCCTTAGAATGGTGCTTGTGCCCTTGGGAGGTGAATTGTTTCCCTTACTGAAGGTTATTGTTGCTCCAAATTTCCAAATAAGCAGCTTCATCATCAGCCTTAAATGTGAGCTTCAAAGAGAACTTTCACCCTCCCCATAGATTTGTTCCCTGTGCCTCTGGAATCCATAGGCTGCACAGCTGGAAACTGGGTTACAGAAGAGTTTGGGAGCTGCACAATTTAGTGGAGGTGCCAAAATAAAGCTGAGCTACCAGCCAGACTGCCTGAAACTCAGATTTTCTGTGTAACTCCTCCCTTAATTTCAGCATATGCTTTTGACTAAAGGAAAGCTTCAGTATTTTTTCCCCTGCTGTTACAGTGAAGCTGTGTGTTTCTTAAGCCTTTCTGAAGTTCTTAAAGAGAACATTTTATGTGCAAGTGTTTTATTGAGACTGTTGAGTTTTACTATGAACTTCTCCTCTGAAAGCATGCAGTAAGATTCTGCTTCCCACACACATGCAGAACTCTTTGCTGGGTCATGTTTAAGCTGAAAAAGCTAATTTCTTTTTTATTTCATTTTTATTCCTAATTTTTTCAAGGCTCTAGGATGCCCATATTTAAAACTGAACTGTGATAATCATATATATATATGTGTGTGTGTATATACATATATATTTAAAACCAGTTGTAACGTACTGATGTTTTCTCTAACACTTCCCAGTTTGCTGCCTGATAGTCCAGAGAGTAATGAGTGACTTTCTTGCAAATAACAAAGGTATTTACACTAAAGGGAAGCACAGGACTAATCTTCAAGGTCCCTTCCAACTTCAACCATTCTATGATTCTAGGACTGCATTTATTGGTCTCTTTGACCAGTTTTCTTCCATAAATTTTCCAGAGGTATAAAAGAGAGGCCTGGCTTTAATGAATGGGCAAGAAATGGTTTCTGGAATGCTTATTAACTTAAGTTGCAGCAAGGAGAGTAACACAGACAGAGACTTGACCTTGCCTCTGTCAGGTTGTGACAGAGCTAAAGGTCAGATTCAATAGCTTGGGCTTAGTTCTCTGCTGAAAGGGTCACATAAAAAGCAAACCTCAGCCCAAAATACATTAATCTTTACAAGAAAGGCATTTTAGTCAAGTACTTTAAAATAAAAAGTGCCTAAAATTACTCAAATCAAAGCTGCTTATGTGCCAAAACAGTTCTAAAGACCACGTGGCTTTGTTCAGGCTAGTCAGCAGTCTGCTGTTCTCCATCCATGCTGAGCCCTAGAGGAATGTAAAAGATTTATGAGAATAGGAAATCCAGTTTGTCTGTTCACTTAATGTTTGTAGAACATCCCTGCATAGAACTAAGGTAGGTCTTTTTTAGATGGACTGTGTGTCTTGGACAGATTACAGGCCTCTGGCTCACAGGCTGTATCCTCTAAGATGTCAGAATATTCATGTATATCCCTTCTTCCTCTCTTTCAAAACTATTAGAAATTAAAGAACAGGAAGCTGGAGAGGGAAGGAACACAGCACAGGTCCAGAGAAGCTCAGCTCCCCACAAGAACTCTTGTGTTCTTTCATAAACAGCTTGAATTCCTGCAGCCTCCTGGTAGATGGTACCACAGCAATCACTGCATTTATCTGTAGGCTATTAAAGTTCTCACTGTGAATACACCTGGATTACTCTTGAGCTTTATTTAATCCCCTGAAGCTGACTTCAGCAAGCCTCATGATTTCTGTCAGCTGACTTGCTGGTGTTTCAGCACCTACAGCAGTGCAGCTGAGGTGGTAGTGGAGCCCTGCTGTGTTCTACTGGGATCTAGATCTTCCACAGCTGCTTCATGTCTGTCATCAGGTTGCTTTTTCCTGCCAGGACATAGAGTTTCCCTCCACCACTGGGAAACTTGGGGATTATGAAGGATTTGCAAAGCTGCAGTTGCTTTGGGAGGAAGCATATTCAGGTAGCTGACTCCATGTACGGTTTCTCATTCCAACAACCTCCACCCAAGAAGGGCACTGCCACCACGTGTGCAACCCTTACCTGATACAGAGAGTTTATCTCTGATGGTGGAGAAGGGTTTGTTGTGAGTGTTAGCTGGATCCATGTCCTTTGTGGGGCTGGGATCCAGCTCCTGTAGCTGGCCCAGGAAGAGGATGGCAGTGTCAGAAGGATGACACTGAGGAGTGTGTGTCAGAACAGGAGCTGCTTCTGCTGCCTAAATGCCTGCAAATCCCTGGTGTGTTTTGCTGATCAGACCCTGATTACCAACCCACTGAGTCCAAAGACAGTTCTGCTTCCTCTCTAGAGGTCTGGCTTGGGAGCAGAGAGGGAGAATGTAATCCTGCTATGTAGAAACAGGAAAAGATCCCTCCAGTTTTCATCCAGCCCCTGTGTCACAAGCCTCTGCCACCCTTTTGAAAGATGAGCAGCCTGAAAATCTGTAGGATAATTCTGGCTTTTTAAGGCTCCAGCATTGCCAAGTTGTTGTAGCTGCATTAGGACCAGATGTGCAGCCAACAGCAGGGGTTGCTGCTGGATTTGATAGCCCAATGTATCATCAGAGGTGCAGTGTAGTAGCATTTCTATTTAATGGAGAATAAAAGAAACTAGTAGCTGAGGTGAAAAAGGCAGATTTCTTCCATGGTGTGGAACTTAGAGGAAATCCTGGCTGTGCATGTGAGCATGGTTGGGTGTCCCCCAGTAGAGCTGGTGTCTGTAAAAGGAGAAGGACTTAAGGTAAAACAGTGGTATGTGTTCAAGAGCACAGAGTTTGGAGGAAGGGAAAGGGAACTAATGCAGCACAAAATCTGGATCACTGTTTGGGACACTGAGACTGGACAGAGCAGGGCTTTAATGGCAGAACAGGCACTTGGGCAGCAAAGGTCACGTCAGTGATTTAATGAGAGCACAAGAGCTGATCTATTGGCAAGACTGGACTATTGGCAAGATGAGTGAACTTCATCAATTTGTCTTGATAACAAGAGACAGTGTTTGCCACTGCTGATAGAGATCTGTAATTCTTTCCAGAGAAGGAAACAGCTGGGTTTGACTTCTGGCTGTCCCTTCCTTTGCTTTGCTCTTCCCAGCCTCGGGCAGCAGTTCCCTTGGGGGATTTCTGCCTTTCACCCCAAGATCTTTACATTTCCCTTTTGCAGCAAGCTGGTGTTTGCTCACCTCCTCCACCTTGTGATGCCACCAGCCATCACAAGACAATAGCAGCTGGGAGCATAGTTACACAATCGTGGTACTCTCTTCACTCTCATTTCCCTGAAATGTGTCTCCTGAATATCTCCAGCCAGATGGAGAACAAACCAGGGCAGTGTGAGACACCTGCCTTGTGCTGCACATGTTATGTCCAGTGTGTAGTATCACCCGCAGACCACTTTGCAGTGTAGATACCACAGAACTACCTTTAAATTGTTCTGCAGCAGAGTTATTTTTGACTTGACATAAGGAATTTCCCAGGCAGAAACCCTCTGGAAGGCAGTGAACGTGAGGAGCTCCTGCCTCTCACACACAGTCTCCTTGGGCAGTCAGGAGCTGAGCTGCCAGGTCACAGGACTGTCCCCATGCATGTGGTGTGCTCTGAATGCTAACACAAGTTTGGTGTGTTTGTTTCCTAATCCAAACAGAACGTCAGAAGCCTTGATGCATGTAGTGTGTGTTTACTGCAGCTGGAGTGGGCCACAGACCAGGTATTTATAGCCATTGGTTGATAAGTTTTCGTTACTCCAGTGAAAAGTGGGTCTGGTGGGTCATAACAGCTTCTTTCTTTCTGTCTTCTGTTAGAGAATAGTGACAAAGAAACTACCTCACTGGGAATGCCCTCATTACCAGCTTCTGATGGGTTTCAAAATCCAGTCCAGTCTTCAGGACTCAATTCCAAGATCTGTAATCCTGAAAATCAATTACTTGATCGTTCTGTCTCTGCCCCTGCTTCAATTTGCTCATCTGAATCTAGCTGCACGGAGCCCATTGATCCTAGAGCCATCAAGTCCTTTGAGTCTCCAACTGAATCCCAGATAACCCCAGAAAAAGAATATTCTCTCTTATTACAGCATCTTTCTAATAATGCTTCCTTGGCAAATAACAACCCTTCTCCCCAGACAGGGGGAGAATCCAATCCAGCTTGCCTTTTACAGAAGACACTCAAAGAAACATTTATTGCTGACAGTCTAAAGGAATGTAACACTGAAGAGCTAGACTATGGTCAGGAACATCCTTTGGAAGTGACAAAAGACAAGAGTTTGGCTGACACTGTTGCTAAGGATGGGCAAAAGAAAGCTGTATGTCTGTCTCCACAACAGGAACAAAAGCATGAGCTTCCCATAGGTCATCAGATGTGCAAGGAACCAGAGAAGAAACATCTGGAGAAGCAAACTGAGACAGCTGACCCAGAAGCTCCTCGTCATGTTGGTGAGGTTGAGAAACCTGTGTCAGAAGAATCCAGCCAGCCAGAAAATCCTCCTACAGAAACCACAGGAGATGGCCAGGAGAAAGCAAGTCTGTCCTGTGTGAAAGGGCATATCCAAATGTCAGCCTCCTGTAGCTGGATGCAGACGGAAGCCTCCATGGAAGTAGATATAGTTGAGCAGTCTGTAGCTGAAGCACATGGTTCA